TCAGCTCATGGATGTTGGAAAGTTACTTGAATATGCAATGCCTTGACACTGTCTCATATTTAAGTTGCCTTATGAAATAATTATCTGCTGTTCCATAAGTTTACCTTTTTAAAATTTAGAAGTGAATATAATTTTCCATACATTATTAAAGCTAGCTTTATAAATACAATTAAGTAATGTGAGTAATTAAAAATTGGGGGAGTTTCTGTTTGTTCCACTCTCTGCTTTCTCCTAAAGCCACAGTTCTTTCCATCATGTGAGTTTGATCTGAATAGTGAACCATTTGCATTTTGATGTGATTTGGAAAGTACAGAAATCATCCCTGCCTCAAACCAGGGTTCCTACAATTTTGACAGTAGTTAGACATGCCACTATGATTCAGTCACTTAGATTAACAATTAAAAGACCTGGTAGTAAGAAAATGCATTAATTTGAGGGGAATCCACAAATGAGGATTATAATTTTAACAACGAACTAGATCAGTCATTTACAGTGCCTTCTGAAAAAGTGATTTTTGTTTCTCTTTTTGGGGAAGGGGAAGCATTCAGAAATGAAATTAAATTTAATCTGATTAAATAAGAAAAATAGTTTTCCTGAAGGAATTTCAAGAAGTTCCGTTGTTTTTAAGCCAATATCTGTATTCCACACCTCTGTTCATCTGCTCTGTTTTCATGATTATATTTCAACATATGTTTTATTTTTCCCGTTTATAAAAGTGAGAAAAGATCACTATAGGAAATTTGGAAAATACAGAAAAATAAAGAAGAAAATGAAATCACTCATTATCAGATAACCCAAACTTTAACTTCTGTAGTAATTTTTATACATTTACCTTTAGTATGGTGTAGTATATAAGCAATCTTTCTCAATTATCAGAAAAATTTGTATTCTTGTTTCACAGAGTTCAATATAATTAGCAAACCATATTAAATTGGGTTACTTCAGTTCTCTTTTTTAAAAAAATTTGTCTACTTAATCTTACAAATGTGAACAAATATGAACTACACTGTTCCATAAAAACTGTATACTGTTTTCTTCTTATATCTCTAACATGTTTAAAAATGTTCTCATTGTCTTATTAATGAAGTAGTAAGATAGAGACTTGTGTTGGCAAACAGTTATGATTCTCACTTTATTTCCATTGATCTTATAGTATAATTTCCTTTCAGAGTCTGGCAATAAATCAGCATTTGTGTCAGAAATATTTGAATTTTTCTATCTTAAATAGAAATTTGTAAGGTGTTTTATCACGGATATTAAATAAAAATCATTTAAAATATGGATTTCCCTGATTCCCTCTGACATCCATATTCTTTTGTAAAATGCTTTAGGGCAACAAAATGACTATGATCTTTCCTTGAAAAGCAAATGTTTAAACCCCACTAACTTTAGAGGTCTTTTTTAAACTTGAAATTTCCTTTCAATCTGTATCATCAATGTTTATTTTAATGGAAAATATAATGTTTTCTCCTTTAGTTAGTAATATTCATATTATGCTTCAAGAGTAATTTATGCCTTTGTGGCATGGTAAAATATGAAAATAATATCCAACAATTTGTATGCTAACCAAATTACTACACAGCGTAGTTCACATCAGAGCCATTGTGAGATAAGGTTCTGATTTCATTTTATTTTAATTTACTCTTTAAATGTGGACCATAGTTTTGAAGAATATCTTTTGCTTTGTCAGAATGTAATGATCATGTAAATATCTGCTACTCTTGACCCTCAGAAATTCTTTGTCTTCTCAGTGACATATTGCTAAGATTTATTTCTTTTTTTCTTTCTGCCTCAGAATGAAAGATAGCCTAGGCGTATTCTTTGTTTTGAAAAATCTGTACTTCTCTTTTATTATTCCATTCACTTTTTTTAAAGTTATAACTTCTCGGTTACTTATTTGCCTAACTTCCGTTTGTTACACTAGTTCTTGTATCTTACGATAAATGAAATTTAAAGATATTAAAACTTGAGTGTAATTTAATTTCAGCCAACTATAAAAGCTCCATCATTTACATGGAACTCCCAATCATCCATCTTCAGACAGGTCCATTAATTGTCACTTTCATCATAGAACAATTGATGAGGCTTATTTTCTTATTGACTTAGTTATTCATTATGTTTTAGTTTCAATACTTTTGAGTGCAATGTCAGTTGTTCCATCCTCTAGATCATAAAAATTAAGTATTGATACTCATTTTACCTTGAGTAAACAAATGCTGAAATGTTTCTTGTTCACTTACAGCATTTTCCCTGCTCCCTTCTCTCTTTTCCTTTTTAAAAATAACTTAGCTCTATTTTCCCTCATAGAGATCTAGGTAGATGCTTTCGCCTAATCTGGTCAGAAGCTTCTTGCCCTAATACTTGAGAAAAGTCTCTAGAAGATTAAATCAAAGCTTCATTAAGAACTTGGGGGGAGCGGGGACATTTCTTTCTTGTCCACAGTAGAATCCTACTATTAAGCGTATTTCTTGGAACATACCAGTTAGTTCACTAAATATTTATTGAATAAGTGAATGTTATCCCAGAGGAATGAATCAGTAATGTTCTTCTTAGTCTGTTTCTTCACTAGCAGTGTTTAAGGTAACAGTGGACATTTAAAATATACTAGAGTTTTCTTCTCCCAACTATGATAGAATTGTTTGTCATAGACTCAAAGCTCATGCCAAGAACAAGTAGAGAAAATTAAATTAAAAAAACAAGAAACAAAAGTCTGTTTGATGGTATTGGAGAAATTATGAGGAAACCAGGGCTTCTCCTCCTTGACACATACGAGACACTAATCTTTGTCTCTTGAGCACCATAAGATTGTTTTAAATTCAGCTCTGCTTTTAGTGGTCATCTATTTTATATCTCAGACTCTGTCCCTAAGCAGATTAGTAATTCTGCAGATATTTTGAGGGGAAAATTGAAGAACATTGGGATCATTTTTTACACCTCTTTCTCTTTGAGATCATGGCCCCGCACTTCTGGGCTGACTTGCCTGCCCCTATTGTATTTTTCCTTCTCTTTCATTAATGTGTGCCGTCATCTTTGGTATTTGCCTCTTTCTATGTTGAAGAGAGGGTTAATTTGTTGTCCCCCTCTTAGTCCTTGAAATGATTGCTTAGATCAGGGATTATTGGCCTTTCATTTATAATCAACTCAAATATCACTCCAGCACTATCAGTTTTCATTTCTTTGCTGCATTTTCATTTCCATTAGCAAATTCATTCCTGAAATTATCCATTTGTGTAAAATGGTGTTATTTAACTAAACCATGTAACTGAAATTTGTGCATATCAGAACCACATAAAATGAGGACTGAATATATATATATATATATTTATTTATTATCCATTTTTATCAGGAAAATATAAATTAAAGCTACAATGTGATACCACTATACACTTATAGAAATAGCTGTATTAGGCAGAATTCTAAGATGACCCATGACTCTAGCCCTTGTATAATTCCTTCCACTCGGAAGATTATAGGACATCACTAATGTAATTATGTTACATGGCAAAAGGGAATTTGCAGATGTAATTTAGGTTACTAATCAGTTGACTTTGAATTAATAAAAAAGGAGATCATTTGTATGGGCCTAACCTAATGACATGAGCCCTTTAAATAATCAGAGAATTTTTTCCCATCTGTTAGCAGCAGAAGAAATCAGAGAGATTTGAAGCATGAGAAACTTCAATGTGAGGGATGTTATCCATTTCTGAGATGGACAGGCCATTGGCCACTGATCTGTGAGTTGCTTCTAGGAGGTCAGAGTGGTCACTAGCCAACAGGCAGCAAGGTAAAGGAGACCTGAGTCCTATTACCTCAAGGAACTAAATTCTGCTAACAACCTAAATGAGTTTGGAAGTAGATTCTTCCCCCAGAATCTCTAGATAAGAGCATAGCCTAGCTGACAACTTGACATTGGCCTTGTGAGACCCTAATCGGAGAACTCAGCTGAACCCACCTGGATTTCTAACCTACAGAACTGTGGGATAATAAACATGTGTTGTTTTAAGCTGCTAAATTTGTGTTAGATTGTTATGCAGCCATAGAAAATTAATACAATATTAAAATTTTAAAAAGAATAAAAACTGGTAAAACCAAATGTTGGTACAAATGTGGAACAACTGAAACTTATTCTGTTTTGGGGATTGCAAATTAGTACGATCAGTTCAGAAAACTGATAGGCAGTATCTACTAAGGCTGAACATAAAGCATATGAACATACCCTAGGAGCAATTACAGCTTCTACATATTTTTACAATATAAATCATTTGTACACCAAAAAAAAAAAAAAGTACAAACAGGTTTATTTTATAGAAATTTTGAAATAGCCCAGACCAGAAAGAATCTAAGCATCCCTCACCGATAAAATGTATAAATGTATTGTGGTGTGTTCATTCAATGGAGAGTGACAAGCTGTAAGAATGAATCAATTACTGCTACCCATGAATGAGTCCTACGAATGTATGTTGAATGAAATAAGCCACACATAAAAGAGTCCACACACAGAAGAGTATGATCTCATTTATGTAAAGGTCAGCGATAGGCAAAACTAATCCGTGGTTATATAACTGATAACAATGGCTAAGTTGGGAGGCTACAGTAGTGATTGGGAAGGGGTACCACAGGGAGATTTAGGGTACTGGTAGTGCCCTGTTTAATGATCTTGATGCTGACTAAACAGGTGTGTTCATGTTGCAAAGATTAATTTAACTGTGTGTGATTTGTGCACTTCTCATTTTTCAATGAGATGCTTTATTTAAATGAAGGACTATAAAGTGTTGGCAACACCTTTTCCACTGTGTGGCTTAAAAAAAGAAAAATTGCCTAAGGTCATTCAGCTTGTGAGTGGAAAGACTTAGAATGGAAAATGATAATTAAGGATAATTTAATGATAATGTTTTAGTTGAATTATCTCTCATTCAGCTGAAAATAAAAGAGAAAAAAGAAAAGTGAGAATAGTCGATAAATAATTTTGACATTTACAATTAATTTTTTTAATAATACAGTTTGCCGGGAGGATTCATACCGCTCTGTGGTGTCATGTGCTGCTGTAGTTCTCACGCCTGTGGAACCAACAATAGAAATGAAAAAAAGAGAAGAACTGAAATTTCCTGAACCTTCCAAACAGTAAGTTGTTCATTGGATTTTTCAGAGCTTTGTCAAACTAATTAGATAACTGATCAGAATTAGATCTCTCAGAAATTGTGATTTATAATGAGTGTGTTAATACTAGTATGTTGAGAGAATAGAAATAAATTTTGTACAACATTTAAAAAAATCAATTTATCCTATATTGCCTCAGTGAACTTCCATGTCTTCTAACTTTGTGTGTTTGAACCATACGCCATTCAAGTTTCATTTTGTTACCTTGTCTTAGGGACATGGGTAAGTGGACTGAAACACTTCATTTCCTTAGCCCTGAGATTGTGGATGTACTGCTCTTGGATTGCTTATTTTATAGTTATATGTTTTAATGGTCTAAAATGTGATCAGTTTTTAATGTAAACTTTTTTGCTTTAAGTTGGTTTGCATTTTTATAAGAAATGAAAGCTATTCTTTTTAACTCTTTTTATTATCCCAAATTAAAACTTTGCATTATTTAGTGCTTCCATATTTTTTGCCATTTAAACAGATCAAGCTTCATTTAAATTTAAATTTGATCTTATATTGAATAAATGATAGATTTCTTTTCTTATAATGACTCTAAAGAGAATTAAATTCACGGTAACACATGTAAGAGACATGACTTGAAATAGCGAGTAAACTAGCATTATTTCTAGTTATGCATTAAGTAAATCAAAAGGGAAAACCTACTGATGATTTTCTAGTGAAAGTAGTGCCATGCCTGCTTTAAGGTCTTGGGTTGGAGACTACTCAATGTATGGTGTTGCCGTGGATTGATGGCTGGACCACCACATGAATGAGGTGCAAGTTACCTTGAAGCACCTAATATTTTTCCCCATTGGGTTACGCTGTATCATACTTGTTTGTTTCTTGATGTCTTTCTACTGGATAAGCTCCTGAAGACAGAGTTTCCTGGAACTGATAATGTCTGATACTCTTTGTGAAATCAATTAGAAAATTTCTTAATGTTATATTCCATAATGTTGAATTCAAATGGAGCAATGTATATATTTGATTGCATGAAGATATTCAGTATTAACATTCTCATTATAGAGAAAAGAAATACCAATTCAGAAAGTAATGATTGTAATTCAGTTTTAATACAACCTAGAAGTGAAAACAATTTAACTACTCGTAATATAGTCTAATTTTTAGGTTCCAAAAGCCATTTTTGTCTAATAGGAGGAAAATTACCTCTCATATATGCCAATTGAATTATATTAGAAAACTCAAACATGATTTCCTGCAATGTATATATGAGTTTACATAAGTTATCTATATATTTGTAAATTAGATCTTAAATTCTTTTCATTATATTTCAATGACTTTGTTCAAAACTTGTGAATAGTGTTATTTGCTTATATAAAATGTCTTTTTTCCCGTCTTTAGCTACTTCATAAATATTCATTCTTCTTTATTCTGAGGTATATATTATAGCAGACAGCGTTTGTTAACTGGCTATTCTTTTTCTTCCTTTTACCCTACATCCACTCTGATACTCCTCTGCATTCTCTGAATCTACTTTCTTATTTAAACATTCTCCCTCAACAATATCATTCATTCATTCATTTGAATTTTGTTATTGTTTTTGTTTTCGTGAGCCAGAGGGACCTTGGTTAAAATCTTAACTCTGCTACGTATTAGATGGAAATTGGGGAGATTTTATTAAAACTCTTTGTGCTTTCATTTCCTCTTCTGTTAATTGGGGTGATATCACCATCCTTACAGGGTCGTTGTGAGTATTATGTGAAGTGATATTGGTAAAGGACCTGAAATCTAAAAAATCATGAAAATATTAGTTATATTACTCCTTCCATAGCTTCAGCTATCGACAGTACCAATAAATTAACAGATACATATTTTTCTCTTAAATCCTCTTCTTTATTCAAATCTAATATTTAGTTGTTGACCTGACTAACTAGGGGTCCTGCCAGCATCTTATACTAAGTATGTATAAAACCAAATTAATGACTCCTCTAGCCTGCTTAAACTTTTGATTCTTTCTGATTTCTATATTTCTGTATTTTTCTTTTCTTAAAATCTCAATATGTTTTCTCCCTCACATCTCACATTGAATTAGTTATTGATTACTTGATTAATGTCTCTTTTATAGTCTTCTTACCATTTGAGCTGACCAGGAAGGCATATACATCTCATATTTTTAAAATTTTTCTAACATATATATTCAATTGTGATCTTAATGAAGCCATTCAAATAGTGGTCATCTATCAAATGGAGATTACATATGCCCTCTGTGCCTCACACTGCTACTTTGAGAATTAAATGATAGGTGTGAATATATGGCAAGAACACAATATAAATGCAAGGCATAGTGATTAATTCAAAACTCTTATTTGCCAATGAGAGAAGCTCCAATGCAAATTGGTTTCAGAAAAATCAAGGATGGTGGATGTTATTGGCTCATGTAATTGACAAGTATAGAGTTAGAAATTTCCTCAAGTATGGTTGAGTCTGGTACTCAAATGATGTCATAAAGGGTTGTTCTCTCCATCTGCATCTCTTTACTCTGCTTTCCTGTTTGTAGTTTCCATTTTCAGGGAGATTCCTCTAATGATGACATTACTGCCTTCAGCAGCTATTGGGGCGAATTTTTATCTTTTCAACAAATCCAGTGGAAAGAGATGGTTTGTCTTTTCCTTTAATCAAAACATAAAAGCCCCAGATTTGAGTGTCATTGGCTTTGACTAGCTTAGCTTGTTTGACATGACTATGCTGAGGCAATTGCTGTGTCCAGGAGTATTTGATGATATGATTTGCTAGAACCAGATTACGTAACAAATTCTGGAGCCAAGAGTGAAGATGAGAGGGGAAAGGTGATTCCACACTTAAAATATGCGTGATGGTGATAAAAGAAGGCAGGGATGGATGCTAGGAAGTCAAAACAATGGATGTTCAATATAGATAGTAATATTATCACCATTAGTTTTAAAAGTCATACTCTTTGTTATATTTAAACTATAGACATTGAAATATTAACATTAAAACACAATTATGTATATCTTTATTTCTTGTTTTAAATGATTTTTCACCTATTTAATTTTATTCATATTGTTTGACCAAGAGAAAGGTCTGACTCTCTCCCACTATAGTGCTCTAGCTGTGCTATTGAGAGACGATATAACTTGGTGGTTAGGAATTCAGGCCTTGGGCTAGTTTTTTGAAACTTTCTTAACCATAATATGTTTCTTTTTAATGTGGAAGTTACTTTCTCTACCTTACAATAAATATATTAGGTAAATAACCATATCACATTTTTATAGATGGAGTTACCAGAACCCTGTGGGGTATTAGTTTTGTGTATTTTGGATTTCCCATTAGGAAAAATAACAACTCACCAATAAAATACTGATATATTAGAATGCTTTAAGTTGAGACCTTGTCTTTGGATACTTAATATTTCCTTTAAATTTAGGATGGAATTATTTCCTTAAGTAAATTTTCCCCTCTAATTTTACAGGCTTCACATGATAAACCATTGAGTCTTTGAAACATAGGACTCATAGAGTCATGTAATTCAGAACTCAGCAAATCTCTAGCTCAGAAGAACTGCAATAATCTTCTTAGTGTATGGGCTTTGGAATATGTCAGATTGCAAATAAGAAAGAATATGAGGATATTATAATCTAAGTGAAGAGGTAAAGCATGCACCTAAAAAGATAAATCATGGTATAAAGGCACCAGATGCTGTTTATTCAATGTAAGGTATAGATTTTAGTTAGGCATATAATTGTTTAAAGTTAGGTCAGATTTATTGATATATCAGTATAAATTTATGAAAATAAACCCAGAATATTGGTTTTAATTATACCATTGTATTGATATTTCATTTTAGAATGTAAGAAACACTTCATGACTGAAATATTTGTATTATCTTATCAACTTTTAGTCATTTTCTGGTGGTAGATAAGTATTCTGATTTTGATGATTTGTTTTTAAATATTCTTATGTATTTCTCAGCTTTTAGACATATTCAACAAGAAAAAAATAGGAATTATTAATTCGTATTGGGAATAAAGTATAACTTTTTCAGCATAGCAAGTGATAGAGAGAAAATAGCTAAATCTTTTAGGAAAGAAAGCTACATCCTGAGCACTATAGTGGGAGAGAGTCAGACCTTTCTCTTGGTGATATATCTAAAGTTTATCTTCCTTCAGAAAACAAAGGTGTGAATCTTACTTCACTTTTCAGTCTCATCTGATTGGTAGCTTAGAATGCCATGAAAAGGATAAATTTGCTAGAAAAAATTTAAAAATCTGTTTGATCCCAAAAGAGTATACAATTTTCAAATATTTGATCATAAGTGTAGAATGTTGGGATCAAAGGTTTAAGTGTGAAGCTTTATAAATTTATAAAATCCTAATATTAAAAATATGTCCACATATCCAGCCACACTCACTATGTCACTCAAACCAATACATTTCTCAAATCACAGTTATGTGGAAATGAGCACCTAAATGTACATAAATTTCAAACTCTGAAGAGAGTGAAAGAGTACTGCTTCCATGATTGGTTATGGATTTTATCTTGTGCTTTTACTAGAAGTATGTTTGTTGAAATACATATACTTGGTTTGAACATACCATGGCTCAGTATCTTAAATGAAGGGATTTTATGGCCATTGTAGATTTAGAACTCTAGAGGTGAAAGAAAGAGGGAGAAATTATTCTATTCCTTCTTTGTCCATTTCCATGTTTTGTTTGTTTGTTTGTTTTTGTGAGGAAGATCAGCCCTGAGCTAACATCCATTGCCAATTCTCCTCCTTTTTTTTTTTCTCGTTTTCTCCTCAAGGCCCCAGTAGATAGTTGTATGTCATAGTCGCACATCCTTCTAGTTGCTGTATGTGGGACGCGGCCTCAGCATGGCCGGACAAGTGGTGGGTTGGTGCGCGCCCGGGATCTGAACCCGGGCCGCCAGTAGCGGAGCACACGCACTTAACCGCTAAGCCACGGGGCTGGCCCCTGTTTGTTTGTTTTATATGGAGAGATC